CCGTCATCCTCAAAGCTTGGTCATTCTTGGATTTGCTCTGGCAGATAGTTGTCCAGCAGCACTTGGGTCATGTGGTTACAGAGCAGAAAACAGAAACTCCCAGTGGGAGGAATGAAACCCCTGGGGTTCCAGACCAAGTGGTTGGTAACCCTCCTGGCACTTAGTGGTGCACAAATCATAATAGATCACAAACAGTCTCCGTAAGGCTAAGAGCTGGGATTCTGTCGTGCTGGGTCTGTCGACATGGTTATCTGGGTAAAGTAACAGGTTTCCTGAGTCTGCCAGCTTGCGTCTGGTGCTCCAGGTTCAGATGTCACAGGCAGTCGGTCAGGACACGCGTGTTCAGAGTCAGATCCCAGTGCCAGGATCCAGGCAATGGGAAAACAGAAAGCTGGGAAAGTGTGTAACACTGACCAGGAGAAACAGTTAAGGTCCATGTTTTATCTGACGCACTCTGGACATTGGCATCCCCGTTAGTATTCAGATCAATTCAATTCAAGCTTTATTATCCCCTGGGGGAAGTTTGTTTTATGGCAGAGTGCAACACAACAGTACAACAGAGACGGACAACTACTGTATCACCATTAAAGAATGGGACACAGGAGTGTTTTCGGAAGTAAGAGATACAGTGTCTGTCCTCTCTGTTTTCACTCCGTTAACCAGCTCTCAGTCCGAAGAAATGTGTTACCTTGAACGTGTACAAATGGAGAATTTCTCTTTCATTAGAATATATCATTTTAACTTCTATTGCATTTTGGTGTGTTTGCGAGTGAGATCGCAGAGCCACTACCCCGGGGCGCACAGCGCTGTCTCCCAGATGGGAGGAGTGTAAAGCTCACAGTGCTGATGGTGAGCCAGTCGCACTATAATGCTCTTAGCCTTCTTTACCATCCTACTGTATGTTGTAGAGAGCATTCAGGCTGACCAAGGCTAAAACAAACAGACTAAAGAAATAGGTCTTGACTCTTGATTTAAAGGCTGAGTGTAGGGGCACGTTTTGGGAGTTTATTCCACAATTTAGATAAAGTCTCATAATCCTACTTGTTCTCCTATGAACACTTCCCCATTTCAAGCTATAATTGTGAGTTCACTCCCTTCTACTTTCCCTGAAGTAAAGAGAATACACAGCCCATCTCCTTTTTGACCTTTAGGTTTCATCTATAAAGACAACAGACAAGGTTCCACTGAGAGCTGTTCTCAAAGTGGGGCTGACTGTGGTTCTGGTGTGTTTATGTTTGGTTTACTTTACTATGCTATACTATACAAAAAAAGTATTGATTTGTGAAGGGAGGATCTTTAGAATAGTAAAATTACATTAAAGATTGTTTTTAGAGAAATGCATACTTTACAGGCATGGTTTTCTCAGTTTGCTAAATATTTCAGATATTAAGAAAATAAGGACCATTACAAGCAATCACCTAATTTATTTGAGGATCTGCTCTACCTGTTTCTTCAAAGAATTAAGTGTATTAACTTTGACAGGATGATTGTGCAGCTTGTTCCATACTCTCACAACCCCTTGTGTCCAGAAGTGCCTCCTGTTCTCAATTTTGAGTGCACTTCTCTAAAGTTTCTTCTGGCTTGTGGTTCACTGCTGATTCGTCACTGCTGAATATGAAGAAGTCCGTTGCCAATGTCTTTCAAGGCTTTGAAAACTTAGATCAACTCTCCTCATTGTCTTCTGCCTTTACGATTAGAAACATTCCGGACATTTCTTTAAACCCAGGAATGTATCTGGTTGCTCTCCTCTGGGATGTATCAAGAGCAGCATTCCTGTCATCTTCCAGGTCTTCAGTTAATCTTGATTTTTTTCCAAGACTGTTTGAAGGTCCCTTTCTGCTTTTATTTGGTTCACCGACCAAACTATTTTCGTATTTTCGTATGATCTGGAAACATGCCTACTGTTGTTTACTTATTATACCAGAATCTACAGTAGATCACTGCAAAATAGAAGGAGCAGTGGGAACGGTGGTCCTAATACAGATCCCTATGGTCCGATTTGAGCAGTCACCTCATAACTGTATTCTCCGTTTTCACTCCAGTAACCAAGTCTCAATCCAGAGAAACACGTTACCTTGAATGCCTTCAAACAGAGAATTCATCTTTCATTAGAATATGTATTTTATATCTGTTTGTATCCCTTACAGCCGTAATAGTTCAAAGCACTATAACATGCCTGATAAGCAAAATCTATCATTTCTAAACTGGTGTTGGTTATCCTCCACAATCCTGTAGCCATACAGATGATCCTCGAGTTCACATTATTGTTTTTTCGTAGCCTTACATGCAATACAAGTTAAACTAGTTGGTCTATAACTGCTTGATTTGAGTTGGTACACATAAAATCTTTCTTGCATTGTCTGCAAAATTGAATATTAGATGTCAAACAGTGGGAAAAAAATCCACAAAACATAAACCCCCTACAAAGGTCATTCAGGGAGTTGCACAAAGTTTATATTAGATTGCACTCAGGGCACTATTTAATCGATTTATCTGAGGAGCTACATATCTATTTAACTGGCTCAATTCAAAAGCCGAATCCCCCAATCCTAATGACAGAATAATTGACCTGCACTGCAGGGAGAGTATATAGACCACAGGGTTCATGGATGACATTAAAGCTGGATTCACATTCGTAGCAGAACATTTCAAAAACAGAGACAGGGTGTAAATGCTCCTGATGTGTGAAGCCTATAAAATATATTAACATGTCCTGGACACTGTATATGGTAGCATGTGAAAGTGGAACGACTTGGCAAGCACATGTGCCTAACTGCGTTAGAAATTTAGTAGGTTGACACCTGAAAAAGTTTCAGTAACCAAAACTTTATTTCTTCTTTCTACTTTCATTGATGGAATTAGCCTGTACTTGTACATGTGTTTTATCACATCATCACTTTCCATAAGTGCTTATTCATCCTGAAGGAACCCCACACAAACACAAAGAGAGCATACAAACTCCACCCTGACAGCGCTCCTGAAGGAACCCCACACAAACACAAGGAGAGCATACAAACTCCACCCTGACAGTGCTCCTGGAGGAACCCCACACAAACACAAGGAGAGTGTGCAAACTCCACACAGACAGCGCTCCTGGAGGAACCCCACACAAACACGAGGAGAGCGTGCAAACTCCACCCTGACAGCCCTCCAGGTCTGGAATTGATCCCAAGGGCCCCTGGGCAGCAAAGTTAACCACTGCGCCACCATACTGCCAGAAGATAAAATCTCCATCCATCCGTCCATCTTCACTCCTCTTTTCCTGGTGAGGGTCGCAGCTACAGCAGGCCGAGCAGATCAGCCCAGACTTCCCTGTCCCCAGCGCCAGATTCCAGCTCCTCCTCCTCCCCAGGCGCTCCCAAGCCAGCCAAGAGACATAATCCCCCCGGCGTGTCCTGGGTCTGCCACGGGGTCTCCGCCCAGTGGGACGAGCCCAGAACAGCTCCAGCAGAAGCCCAAGCCACCTCAACTGGCTCCTCTCGATCCGGAGGAGCACGGCTCTGCTCCGAGGCTCTCCCGGAGTGCCGAGCTCCTCACCCTATCATGGAGATTCAGTCCGACGGCCCTGCGGAGAAACCTCATTCCTGCTGCTTGTATCTGCGATCTTGTTCTTCCGGTCATTACCCACAGCTCATGACCATAGGTGAGGACAGAGACGTACGCTACTGTAGATCGACCAGTAAACCGAAAGAAATCTCACCAGATATTCATTTGGATCCGTTTTTGACAGTGCATTGTAAGACTGAACACAAATTGTCCCTCTGTTTATATATTGTATATATCAGTGTCTTTAAGTTAAAAAGCTTGAATTAAATTGCCCCTTGCCAATTGGTAGAAATGACCCTTTTCTGAAGGTGTAAGTGGATTTTGTAATAGAATACTACAGGTATGCAACATCCAGTAGTTGTTGTTGGAAATGGTTCTGTGTAGACGTTCATGAACAGATATGTACTTGAAAAAATAAATATGATATTGCTTTAATGTAGTAGTTCTTATGAGCTATGCTGCTTTTTCTCATGCAAATGCACAGTATTTGTGTAGACTAACCGAGGTCTAAAAAGAACACCCTTATCTCTTGTAATCCCTCTGCATTACATGATGTACAGCTGAGTGATGTAAAGTGGTTTAACTCAAATTCTTACTTGAATCTATGCTGCCTGAATGCTGTATTACTTCATATGTGTTCTAGAGCAGAATAGAAAATTAATATGTGCTCATATGTGCTCTTTGCAAGGATCGTAAAGAAATCAAGAGCTGTAGCGTTCTTAAATACAGCTGTGAAATACGAACATGCAAAGGTGGAAAACAGAGTAATCCATGATGCTGCAGCCTTTACAGTGCCATACCTTGGAGGACAGTGATGCCAAAAAACCTCTGTCCCTGGGCAGGGGCTGCCTGGGACATGTGCAAGGGCTTTTCTCATATCTACAAAGAGCTTGAACCTTATCTTGACACTGTTTCACTCTGAACTGCACCACATTTCTTCCAATTGAACAGTGAATTGCAAAGCAGGGGACACAAGTGCTAACTACTGTATGTGGAATGCATTTAGAACGAAGAGCAAGAGGCATTTCGTTACACAAAGGCTTATAGAACAAGATACCCATGTTATTAAAGTCGATTAAGACCTTGTCAACACATAGTCTAAGGCAACTGGAGATAAATGCTCATTAAAATGGATATGTTTGTGCACACTATGTGCATACATGTAGGTTTTAAGACAGGATTCGAAAGTGCTGACTGACCTGCAAAATCTTAAATGAGCAGGAGATTGTTCCACTGACTTTGAGATTTGTCTTCAAGTATAGGGAGCTGGAAAAAAATATCAGAGATTTTGAATCTTATTCTGAAATCCACAGTGACCCAGTGAGGAGAAGCTAAAACACATTCATTTTAGTTTTTATTTTTGCTCCTGAGCTAGCTATGCTGATGTTGATGCTCATTGTCACATCTTGAAACCAACGTGTAAAAGTATCTGATTTCTGACATTTCATTTGCAGGCCCTGCAATTCCAGTTGGAGTGGATGTGCAAGTTGAAAGCCTGGACAGTATTTCCGAAGTAGACATGGTAAGAACATCAAGATTTATGATCGTGCATTTCATTTGTAAACACAAAAACACAATAGTACAGAATCAAGAGACGACACCTCTGTTTAAAAAAAAACAACAAAGATTTGAAGGGTAAGATGGTCCTGTGTTAGTGTTCAAAATCCAGAACCCAAGAGGTGCTGCAGTGCAGCCTTTGTAGTTGTGTAAATGAGCAACATTGTTAAACAGAAGCTCAGGAGGTCCATTTGTAACCTTTCACTTCCACTCTCACACATATATATTTTTTGCCTGCTGAGCGACCCTTTGCAAACATCTTTTCTAGCACCTCCTTCTCGACTCCATCTTCACCCTTGCAGCTGCCCCCCTGGTTCATTCCTTGTAAGTGAGGTGGGGGGGGGGGGTTCTGTCATCCTTGACCTTATAGCCAGGGTTGTCATTTCCTTAGCCAGGCAATTTAACACCAATCACTAAATTACTTCATCCTAATAGCTCCATTTAAACAGTTGTATAAATATGCAGCATTAATTAGCTTGAACATATATTGAACTATGGTTAACTCATCATATCTGGGGTGGTCTTTTACTGGAATGAGAAGGCTCATGACGGACATTAATTGTTTTTTGAACTGTGGTTAGCCAGGTCTTCTTCACATAATAATAATTCCTTGCATTTATGTATGGATTTTATTTACCTGTCTTTGTAAAGATCCCAAACCACTTTTTATTTAAAAGTATAGACTAAAGGGTGTCTAATAGGAGCACACTTAATCCCTCTGGACTAAGAGAACACCTGAAGTTTTGCACCCAGTGCACAGCAGATCAGGTAGAGAAGTGAGAAATTACTATCACCTATTACACCAATAGGGGGAAATTTAAGGGATGTCAGACTGGACAGCTGAGTGAAAGTAATCCACTCAACACCCAGAGTGAACACCCGTGGACTTTTTAGAGACCAAGTAATCAGGACTTCAGTTATAAACATCTCATCCAAAGGAGAGTACGTCCTACAGCACAGTGTCCTGGTGCGTCGTACTTGTTTTCAGGTGGTCTGGTCTGGGGGGGGTTGGCACATTATTGCATTCCTGCCTCACAGTTCTGGGGATACAGTGCTGAGGACACTGTGCGTCAGGAGGCACGATGGACATCACACACCCATCATCATTCACGGGGCTCCAGTCGAAACCATTTGAACCTTCTGGTTCCTCGGACTCCAGATCTCTGAGAGGCTGAGATGGTCAGAGAACACTGCTCCCATCCTCACTGAAGCCCACCAGCGCCTTCACTTCCTGAGACAGTTAAGGAAGTGGGGGATGAGCAAGACAACACTCACCAATATTTACTGTAATACCATTGAGAGTGTCCTGACCGGTGGTATTACAGTGTGGTTTGTTGGAGCCACAGTACAGGACAGAAAAGCCATACAGAGGGTTGTGAGGTCCGCGCAGAAAATCACTGGGACCGATCTACCCTCCATCAACAGGATATATCTCGACCGCTGCCACAGCCGGGCTCGAGCTATACTTTGGGACCCAATTCACCCTGGCCACGACCTAGTTTCACCCCTGGGTTCTGTTAGGAGGTATCGCAGTATCAGAACACTGACCAATAGATTCAAGAATAGTTTCTTCCCCTAAGCAGGCCGCATCTTAAACAGCTCAAATTAGCACCTGCACAAATTAGCGCCTGCAGTTTAAGGTAATGCACTGTTTGCACTACAGTATGCCCTGTCTTGGCTGTACTATAATGTCTGTTGTCTAAATTTATTGTCCATGTCTGTTTGTCATTTGTGCCTATTTTGTTTCTCTTATGTTACTGGGCACAGCTGAACGAGTAAGCATTGCAACACACTTGTTGTGTATGGCAGATAAAGAAATCCTGAATCTTGGGCCCTACGGTAACTGTGTGGAGTTTGGATGTTCTCCCTGTGCTTGCATGGGTTTCCTCCGGGCGCTCCGGTTTCCTCCCACAGCCCGAAGACATGCTGGTGGGTTACGTGTGTTCTGGGAAGATTGGCCCTGGTGTGAGTGTGGGCCTGTCCCAGGTTGTATCCCGCCTTGCTCCTGTTGCTTGCCGGGATAATCTCCGGCTCCCCTGCAAGCCCGGACTGGATAAGACAGTTTGTAAGCTGGATGGGTGGTTTAGAGGAAGGACTGACAGCTACTGATCCAAAGCGTGAACCTGTCTTGGGAATTTAGTGCTCGTTCTGCTACTATTCATCATGAACTTCACCAGCAGACCCTCGGCACTACAGTTTCAGTTCATGTAACTCAGTGACTAAAGAAAGACTGTGAATTGCAAGCTTTATGTAATTGTACCACATGGGAATGAATCTTTGGATCCATCAGCGAGCTACTGCTATATATTAATACAGATACTTTAGTAAGAAAAAGAAACTTGTGTCAGATCACAAGCGAACAGTAGGTATAAGTGACTGTCAGGTCATCGTGACTGTGTTCCGTTCAATGTGTAAAGAGAAGGCAGAAACCCATGTACAGTACATGATTCTGCAGTTTCATATGAGAAACAGAGTAACATACATTGGGAAAGCTGTGTTATTTCTACTTTGTACAGAAACAGAGAAAACGACACGCATTTAACCCAGGAATGCTAACGGACACTGTGTTATACTTCAGGTATATAAAAGACAGTTCATGTGCTCCTGTAGATTATTTTTTTACAAAAAGAATAACATTATAATATTCTTCTGTTGTTAAAGTCAATGCAAATTTGAATGGGACAATACTGCTGCATATATAATACAAGATATTAACATAGAAGGCAATATTGTTCACAAATTAATTATCACATTTAAACAGAATACTATCTTGTATAAACGCAAGAGGTTTCTCGTTTAAATGCAATACTATCTCTTATAAACACAGTACGTTTCTAATTTAAATACAATACTACCTTGTTTAAATGCAAACATTTTTATTTTCTCCATGGCACTAATAAGCTTCCAGATGAATGTTTTTAGATCGATCTCACAATATTAACTGTGATGAGGATGCTACAGGTGGGATTTTTAGAAAGCAGAATTAATGCGTGTTGTTATGTGTACTGTATAGCCATGTATAGCAAGGGCTCCTGTTTGTGTCATCCAGCACAGAAGATGTGAAGAAACACTCTAACAGGGGTGACACACTGGAATTAAATGTGTCTGAGGAGGTTTGAATAATCAAGACAGGTGGTATTAGGCTCAACCCACTTGGGGCGAGGAGGGTGGGACCCCCCAGTAGGGAGAGGAGATCACCTGCAAAGGTGGAGCTGGGCTGCTTGAGGTGAGGTGGGAGCAGAGGGCTCGGTGTGTGACATGTATACCGTACATGTCTCAGGAGAAATAACGCCAGGGAACATTATGATTTAGAACAGCTGGGCAAAAGTGAGTTGGTCGTCATCCAGATCTAATTTCGTTACAAAACTATGTTTGTTACTTCAGATACAAAGTGTGCCCAGCTGACAGCGCGTCACCTATGCCAGACTGTATGTGTATATGGTTTATGAGTCAGAATGAGATGCAGTTAATTTAGAATTTCAACCCACATGCATTAACAACTCCATCCATCCAGTTTCAATACATTTTGTGATTAACAAGTATTTGCTGAATTCTACTACAGCTGTCATTGTACAGTGTGTTTGGCATTCTAACATTGCTTTATAATAGTTCCATCTTTTAATCATAAGAAACTGATATACTGATATCATAAGAGTTTTAATCATAAGAAACTGCCAGAATATTTGCATGTTTATTACACATCATTGTCATGAGTTCCTTCTTCTGCTTTCTCTTCCTATATTCACGTCACACCTGTTGTTTTCTAAAGGTGAAAACAATGCATTGAAATGTCATGGCATCATACACACATCTTAAATTTAACAGTTTAAGGTTCAAACACAATTTAGAGTTTAAACACATTTTTAAAGGGTCTGGATTTAGAACATTACAAGCTCGATCTTTCATTTCCAAAACAGTGCCAAAGACATTGTTTAACTACACGTAAAGCTCTCCAGATTTCTTATTACTTCCCATGGTATATTTTGGAGTGCATTGCTTGGTGAGATACAGTTAAGACGTTTTCCAATCTTAACTTCTCTCACGCTTCCCCTCCCTTGCTGTGAATAGTTGAAGTGAAGTTGCAGTTTCATTTCAGGACAACGTAAGGAAATGAGCAATGAAATAACAGCCATCCCGTGGTCATTTTTCATGTTTCTCCGTTTTTGTAGAAGGGCCCAAGGTTTCCGTGCTGGGTGAAATACCTTGATCTCTTTTCCTCCAATGTAGGACTTCACCATGACCCTGTACCTCAGGCATTACTGGAAAGACGAGCGCCTGTCTTTCCCCAGCACCACTAACAAAAGCATGACCTTCGACGGCCGACTGGTGAAGAAAATCTGGGTTCCTGACGTGTTTTTTGTCCACTCCAAGAGGTCCTTCATCCATGACACCACCACAGACAACATCATGCTGAGGGTGTTTCCCGACGGTCATGTGCTGTACAGCTTGAGGTGAGAAAAGGCTGTTTCTCCCTGAAGTTTGCACTCCCGTTCCTAGTGTCTGGGTGAAACATCCTGTGCACTCATGAGAGCACAAGAGAGGTCAAAAACATCTAGCGAATTTGGTAGTCTCGAATTGATTCAAGGATCTCATTATGGCCAGCAGCTATATCCCCCTGCAGCTCACCACTGTCAGCCCAGGGAAGCTCAGCAGGTGTGAGCCTGGTCAGTACCTGGATGGATGGGAGACCTCCAGGGAAGAGAGCTAAGGTTGCTGCTGGAAGTGATGTGAGTGGGGCCGGTGTCCTGGCCAAATTTCCCATTGGCCCTTACCAATCATGGCCTCCTAATAATCCCCATCTATGAATTGGCTACATTACTCTGCTCTCCTCCCCACTGATAGCTGGTGTGTGGTGAGTGTACTGGCGCACTATGGCTGCCGTCATCATCCAGGTGGGGCTGCACACTGGTGGTGGTGGTGGAGGGGAGACCCCATTACCTGTAAAGCGCTTTGAGTGGAGTGTCAAATAAAGTTCTATATAAGTAGAAGCGATTATTATTATTATTATTATTAATCTCATTTTAGAGAAGCCACAGAATAAGCCTCAGCCACATGGCTGGCAAGGCTGGCCCATGCTCCCACTATCCTTTGTGCAAAGAAGTGCCTCCTATTCTTGTTTTTAAGTGCACTTCCATGGAATTTCCACTTGTGTCCTCCAGTTCGTGTTATAATAGTTCTCCGTTTTAATAATTGTACCCCCCTCTAAAAACATACAATTCAGGATTTCTTGCTTAAGACTCCATAGTGCCCCAACTGCTTTCACAATCCTGGGTCATGCAGTGTGAAAATTACTGGATGCAGAAGTGAACCTCTTATTAAACTTGGGATAGGTTATGGCTGTGTTTCATCACATTTTGTAAGGAGGTCAGCAGGATGTCTACACATTTTGAAATGCACCAGACAGAAGAAAACAAAGCTGAACTATGTCTCCATCACATCAAAGAAAAACACCAGAGGCTTGGTGATGACACTGAGTTTGTATATTTCTTTGTACCAATATCAGACAGGGCCTCTTTTTTAAATAATTGAAAGAGATTATAGATCTCTTTGACCTTTCAAGGACATGCATCCAGCATGCAAAGACCTTGACGTCACTGTTGGCAAATCTGTCCTAGTTTGTTTTTGCTCTGGATTCTGAATCCAGTCAACATGAAACTTGACCACGGATTAAATCAAATTTGCTGAAAATGTAGAAATGAACTATAATTGAACTGAAAACTTTTCACAATTAATAAAATACAATTGAAAATGTTTAATCATAAAATAGGTAATACTGAATTCAACTGCCAAAACTGTATTAATGTGTATTTTAAAATATTTTACTATTTGTTAATGAATATACCCATTGCTTTTTTCTAAAATTTACTCTGACATTAAATTTCTGACATTATTTAAAAAAAAACTTTTAAAAAGCTTGAAATCAGTTTGGAAATAACTTTTAGATTACAAACGATGGTCAGACAGTGGCCTGAGCCATTGTGAGCAGAATTGTTTATCAGTCAAGAAGCAAACTTACAGAAAGGCCATGTAGATTTGAGCAACCTTGAAGCCCCACTTTTTGTAAGTGTATAATACTGACAGAAGGTGATAATTATTGTTACTAAGTTGGCTAGCACCCTGCCTTTTAGGTCTGTCTGAGTGTCTTTAATTTAAATCCTTCCATACATTATTCCTGGCAAGAGCACATTCCTGCAGAACTCAACAAAGACTCTCCGAGAAGCAATGGGCACAAAGATGGATTACAGTCATTTCCACACAATCACACTTAGGGATTTTAGACACATCAGATAACTGAAACTGGCTTTATTGTGTACTTCAGAACCAATTCTGAAGATGAGCAGTGGTGATTTCTCAGCATGGGCCCACAAGGATGAATCAAGAACTCTCTGACTCGTCTTTATTGCTGATGTAACTAACGAAGGCAGCAGCAAAATGAATTGATGTTTACAGGAACATTTTGACTGCTTATGTAGAAGAAATCGCTTCTTTATTTACAGTATGTGGCAGGTTTTCCTCATACAGCGTGACAATGACCCAAAACATATAGATAAAGCAACCAAGGAGTTCTCCAGCAGGGAAAAGAGGATAATCTCAGTTTAGCCGTATCAGTCTCCAGGCTGTGATGTGGTGTGATACCTAATAGTCTGTCTGCTATGTGGTTTATTTTCGTCAGGGTCACTGTAACAGCTGCCTGTAACATGGACTTCAGTCGTTTCCCTCTGGACTCCCAAACGTGCTCGTTAGAACTGGAGAGCTGTAAGTATCACTTATTTACCAGCTAGAATTTCATAGACAGACCGGCAGACAGATAACACACAGTTGTGAAGCCAGCTCACTTAGCTTTAAGCTGGGCTAGCTGAGAGATAGATTTAATGGGGGCTGTAACTAATAAGGGTAGAGAAATGGTACCTATCGTGACTTGTACATGTTATCAGGTTTTAATCTGAAACTGTGAACATAATTTACATGCTCCCAGCTGACGTTTTTTAACATATTTTTTTTTCTCTCAAATTCGGCTTCAGAAAATAGAAATGTAGCCATAAGAGGCCCTGCATGAAATTGTTAATTTATAAATGTATCTATGAGAAAGAGTAATCATTTTTAAATATCAGGTATTACATTACATTTGTGGTAAATTAAATGGTTTTTAATTTACATTACATTACTGTGGTATACCGGTACTGAGGTTAGTACTTGTCGACTTATTGAAACGGAATTCATACAACATAGTGGCAATATGGACAATACAGTATGTAGTAATGTTAGTGCTCCAGACTCAAATCTGCATGTTTATGTGTTTCCTGGGTGTGACACTACTGTTCTCCATTGACTTAGTCTAGCTAATAAGCATTAGGAGGTGTAGAGTAAATGTGTTTTACTAAAAGTATTGGAGATATGGAAGAACAGAAATGTAGGACTTACATTGACAATTCAATCTAACAGACATGACACAAGTAGAATCTATGAGGAAACCGAGATGGTCTGATTGCTTGAATTCTTTCTCCAGATGCCTATACTGATGAGGATCTGATGCTGTACTGGAAAAACGGAGACGAGTCGTTAAAAACAGATGAGAAGATATCTCTGTCCCAGTTCCTCATACAGAAGTTTCACACTACCTCCAGGCTTGCGTTCTATAGCAGCACAGGTATAACAGTCAGTGGAATTGAAATTGAACAATTGAAATTGTTTTTAAAGAAATCTGTGGCAGGTTTCATTTGTAGAAATTGATCTCCTTAAAGTCTGGCATGAATACACCCATATACCCCCTTTGCAGCCTACGCATGCTGACGCAGCTACCCACCTGAATATACCCGTGACACCTTCAAACTAAGCCATGGATTTCAGACTGGTCTCAACTTCTCTTCATGAAACTCCTCTTCACAGCTGCATCCCACCCTTCTCCCCTTACTCACGGAGACTCGGAGCAGAGCTGTCTCGGACAAATGTTGCTCATGGGAAGCATCAGTGCCAAACCCATCTCTCAGTCATCCCTGTTTGGCCAGAACCACTCTACCGCGTCCTGAACCTTAACGGCGGTCTGACACGGCAGGGACCAAGCCTGCCACGATTTCGGAGCCTATTTCCACACCGTGTGGTTCCCCTAACTCAGAGCACTCATGTCCTCGACATTAATATAAATCAATACTTTTTATATATATAATGTGTGTGGTAATGCTAGATTTAAAAGCATTTTGTATATTTTGTATACAGGTAGGCCAGTGCTTCCAAAGCATGCAGGTGTAGAACAGGACTTAATGCATTTTTATACAAAATTTCGTATTCTATATTCTGGTCGCTTGCAGATTAGAATGGCATATGTTTAGCAATAATATTATTTTTGGTACCCGAAAGTTTCAGGTTGTTTCACAAAGCTAAGGTATGCGTATACGTGATCTGACAACTGGAATCAATTTCCTGTCGTTTTTAAGGTATAAAAACACGGAGTAGATGCATAACTCAGAGCACCAGGCTCTTCGGCCTGTTTATGGGAGCTCTGGGCTGGTGTATTTGAACACGCCGATAGTTGCCAGTCAGTTGCATCGACATCACGCTGCCATCTGAGCCAGCTTGCCCTCCGACTTGCTCTTGGCTGCCCGCGCTTGTACCTTTCACCACCAGGCTGCATTAACTAACAGATAACGTGGAGATAACCGTTCGTGTGCTGCCAGTCTGCCATATTAAAATAAACAAAGAGCACTCACACTGTACAATATGCACAGCTGCTGCCACATCTTCCTCATGCCCAGTCTCAGCGTCACTCTCACCCTGGAGCTACCGGGCTAACTTGTGTTCTGCCAGCCCGTGCTCCGCGCCACGGCCAGAGGCAGCAGCTGGTCAGACCCTTGAATCACTCTGGACCTTCCGTGTAGAGGTGAGGGACTTCCTGTCACACCACAGCTCTCTGGACTTCGTTCACTAACTCACTAAACTTCACACACATACTGTGAGTAAACATCCACTTCACTTAGACAGACCTGTTCTCTCTCACTCCCAGATCAGGCTGTCTCTTTATATAATAATAATAATAATAATGTTTCTTTCTTTATTAGCCCTATACAATTTCTTGCATTAGGAATTTGTCTTTTCACATACCCCAGCTTTTCTCCAAGGAGACACAGATAGGGAGAGAAGCTGGGGGTCAGAGCGCAGGGTCAGCCATTGTACAGCACCCCTGGAGCAGTTGGGGTTAAGGGCCTTGCTCAGGGGCCCAACAGAGTAGGATTCCTCTGCCGGCCGCGGGATTTGAACCGGCAACCTTCTAGTCACAGGCGCAGATCCTGAGCCACAGAGCCACCCCTCCGCCCCAGTACCCCAGTACCCTCTGGGATTGCAGGCACAAGCATTACAGTAACTCACATAAGGCCACTAAACTTACACGTAGATTGCTTAACTCCTCAGTCATACAGGCGTGACAAGCAGCTCAGCAGCTTTGCAGCTGTTCCTTTGGCACACCTCCAGAACAGGCTGTTACTGAAGTCTTGTGCACGGATCTCCACCAGGTTC